GTGTCCGAGCACTGCTCCTGGACACCCCAGTGTCGTCCGGCTTGGGCTGCGGTTCTTAATCCCCGGCTGCCTGACCTCAGCTCTTCGGCTATTCAAGGGCTATTTTATCATTTGCTTTCAGCTCTTGAGAGTCAGGTGGGATTCGTGAGTGGTGTCAGTCCTGCAGTAACAGGCGCGTTTCAGCAGAGACGGGGCCGGTCCGGACCAGGACTGAGAGCCGGTCCCTGATGCTTCCTCACTGCCGTTGTCTTCCTCCCTGTGTCTGCCCAGCCTGTGAGAAGGACCAGCTCCAGTGTAAGAACTCGCTGTGCAAGCCCAAGTTCTGGATGTGCGACGGGGTCAACGACTGCGGGGACAACAGCGACGAGGCCGCGTGTGGTAAGCCTTCTGCAGAGAGCGCGCGGGGCGTGGTGACCTGCCCTCCAGGGCCCTGAGAAGGATGAACAAGGCAGGTGGCTCCCTGCACCCCCAGCGCCAGGGAGGCGGGAGGGAGCGCGTCTGTAAGCAGGGCTGGCGAAGCGTCTGAGGAGAGAGAGAGACAGACCTGCGCAGCCCTCCGATCCCGGGGGGAGACTGCTCAGGGGGGACCCAGGAGGAATGGCGGAAGAGGGGGTACAGGGAGACCGAGACTGAAGACGGGGTGCAGCACTAGGGCTGGGGATCAGACGCAGGAGGAGCAGGGAAGAGCCCAGCGCGAGCTCACTGCCCTCTGGCCTCTCCGCCCGCAGAGTGCAAATCCGGGGAGATCAAGTGTCGGAACGGGAAGTGCCTCTCGGAGAAGAAGAAGTGCGACGGGTCGGACGACTGCGGGGACGGGACCGACGAGTCGGAGTGCGGCACGAGTAAGGGGGCGTTTCCGACCGCTCTGTTTCGGGGGGGGGGCGGCGGCAGGACCGGGGTGCCCCTCACCGCCCTGCCTCTGCTCCCCCAGGTGTGCAGGTGCAGTGCTCCGAGTTCACCTACCTGTGCAAGGACAAGGTGTGCATCACCAAGCTGAACCCCGA